GGGTTCGATTTCGAACCCAGCAAGCAATCGAACCCAGCAGCCGCTGGGTTCCTGCAGGTGCTGGGTTCGATTTCGAACCCAGCAGGCACTGTGTTCAAGCTGGGTTCCTGCAGGTGCTGGGTTTGATTTGAACCCAGCAGGCACTGGGTTCCGTTTCGAACCCAGCAACCGTTGGGTCAATGGATCTGTTGAGTTCCATTGATCTGTTGTCTGTTGGGTTCTGTTTCAAACTTAGCAGTCGTTGGGTCGATGGATCTGTTGAGTTTGATCTATTTATAGATTTGTTATTTGTTGTGTTATCCTCATATATTTTTGCAGGTTCTAGATTCGATTTTAAACCTAGCAAGCGTTGGGTTTTGTTTCCAACCCAACTGCAGTTGGATCAAAAGATCTATTGATTTTTATCTGTTGGTTTGTTGTGTTATTCTCAGATTTAATATTAGGAAATGTTAGGGTTTGCAGAAGGTGAAAGGAAAGGGAGAGGAAGAAGAAAGGGTAAAAAGAAAAACAAAGAAAGAAAAAAAAAAATTTTTTTTAAGGTAATTTTTTACCATCTCATTTCCTTACCACGCTGTCATCCTAGGTGTCAAAATGTTTTAACATGTCATCCTTTTCTTCGTCAAGTAACAAGACACGTAGGTGAATATTTAACGGAAAGACCAAATCGGGGTTAAAATGGTAAACAGTAGGGACCAAATCAGGAATTTTTTTAGTTTAGGGATCAAATCGGGGGTCCGTACAATAGTTCAGGGACCAAAACAGGGTTTTAACCTAAGCATTTCAATTTGATACTAACTAAGATAGTGCTCCCACTTTATAGAGCTAATAAAAAGTATGTCACCTACCACCAATATAATCTATTGCAAGTAACAAATAAGCTTGGAAGAATGCAATTGGAAATTTGTAATAATCATATCAAAATCTATTAATATGTAATCTTATTTTCATACAGGGAACATCTCCCAAGCAAGCCTCTTCTTTTCCTATGGCCAATTAGTCGACAAAAACACTGGTTCATCATATAAAAACTTCCATATAACTGTTACTATCCTGCCAAATCTCTCATTGCTAAATAACCCACACTGATTCATTTTAAGCAGTTTTCTTTGACTTGGGTCTGCTAAGTGCTTCATCCTGCTTATCCATGCACGTCCTATCTTCTAGACAGCATAAGATGGCTCCTCCTCAAGTGCAGCATCCAACTCAGGATTAAGCTTATCAAACTCAACAACAAGCTCAGTCTCTAAATTATGCTCTTCAACTAGCTCCTCTGCATCCTCCTCCATTGGTGCCTTATCACCAAGCTCTTGATCAGGCAATGGAGGCTACTACTGCTGCACTTATGAGGGTGGTTGGGTCAAAGTAAGCAACTGTTGTTGTTGTAGCTGTGTGGCTCGCTGGGTCCAAGTGGGCTATTGTTGCTGCAGCTACTGCCTCGAGAGAGGGTGGCTTAAACTAGGCAACTACTGCTGTGTGGGGACAGCCTTAGGAGGCCCACGAATAAGATGCCAAAGCTGCTTTTGTGCCTTATCTAGTGTATTACTTGGTTCTTTAGAAGATAATTCACCTCGAGTACCTTGTCCCAAATCTGTATACACAAAATAATAAAAATACATAAGCTTTTAGTTCATAGAGATAACCAAAACTTTTATGAATCATAATACAAAAATTTAAAGATACTATAAATAGAATAAATAAACATATAAATATAAAAAAATACAATGTATTATATATAAATATATAAAGATAACATAAACTGTTAATATAATTAAATATATAATTATAATATATTTAATATAATTTGTGAGATTTTTTGTCATTTTACTTTCTTTTAATCTGTTGAATGGTGGATTAATTGGTGGATTTTATGCCATGTTGCCTTGGACATCTCTGATTTATCTGTTACGCCAATGAACCTTTGCCACTCTACCAAAGCATTGTTAAAGTCCTTTCTTCTATGTTGTTACCTATTTCTCATTATATCAGCATGAAATCAACCACTCAACTAGAAGTCACTAACATGGTGACTAATATGTACCATCCCCAATCTAGATGATCTTAACGCAAAGACCAACTACCTTTTTAAATGGGGGAATTTTTTTTCTTTTTTTTTTCTCCTTAATTTGTGAAGAAGCTTTGAATGTCTATTCCTCATTTAAGTGGGAATGCACTAGTTAGAGTTTGAGAGAGAGATGGATTTCAAGGACTTTTGTGGACCGTACATATCTAGGCTGCATTATTATTACGCTCTTTTATTATGGTTTCTCATTTATGCTAGTGTCAGGTTTTGGGTTTTAAACATTAGGAGTAGCTGGGTTTAAAAGGTTAGGTGTTAGCACTAGTGCTTTCTTCTACATTTGTGTGGACCTATGCCTTTCATGTAAATCTAAGGAATGTAGTATTAATTGGCAAGTGATTTCACTAGTTATCATCACTTAATTAACTACCATGTATTGGTAACATATGGAATAAGATTCAAATAAAATATTATATACAATGTAAAAATATAATATAATATTTATACTTAAAATCTATGAAAAGTTATGAATCTAATATGAAAATTTATGTAAAATTAAGTAAAATATCTTAATTGACAAATTTTAACATGTACCTAAGAAACTAGGTTATACAAGCCTTTTTTATTACACAATCCTGTGCACAATAGCTTTTCCAATCCATTATTTATTAGACTTAAAGAAACGTTGTTTCCATTCGAGGCCTGCATAAAAACAAGGGTTGAAAATGACATTTTTGTCCAATTTGAATTGCTTCTTAATTTCCCTTTGTTTTTTTTCAAGTTTTCTATGGGGTGACTGATGTTTTTGTTGGAGCTGTGTCAAAGCTGCAACACAGTGGCAGAAAATGAAAAGAAGTAAGAGTTGCACCAACACCACAGTATCAATCACATAGAGTTGCAGAAATTAGTTAATGTATTAAGATCGAAAAAATTATTTTATTAGGTAGACAACACTTTAATGTGTTTTGAGATTTCTGCTATATAATGGCAAAAGATGAATGAAGATGGGTTATGACCTCACCAAAATAGGGAATTTCGGGTGTCTCATTCTCCCCCCTTTTCACCACCAAAAATCCAATAATTTTAATATGAATTTTTCTGTTGTTCTCTCAGTCTAGAAATATTACAGAAGACATTGATAATTAGTATACTACTACTTAAATCATATGCTTGTTATGCTAGGTATTATAGTTTTATAATTTTATGTTATTAATGAGCTAATCTTTGTCATCTAGCACTTTCTGAATATTAGGGGAAAACAACAAAAGATAGATACTTAATTTTTAGATCAAAGGTTGGACATTCAAATATATGTCCATGAAATGCTTCTAGTATATGCCAATCTTCTAATGAAATGCTATATTAATTAGCTTTATAAAGGCATAAAGGTGTATCTCTAAAATGTTCATTATTAATTAAATAATTTAAGTTTGGTGGCCTTAATATTAGCTAGCTACTCATAATCATATATATTCATGTCTTGAGCGGGACCAATTCATCCTTAACAATTACCAGAATTGGGACCAAAATTTATTCTTCATGATTAATTTTTCTGTTTCTTTCCACTAACATTTTTGGCTGCCATCTATTGCACAGATTCCACAAATTAAGCTAACTTTAATTAAATTAATGCCCTTTAAATCAACTTAATTGAAGTACATATGTATATGAGTATGACACAAACCTAGAATTCAGATCTTACTCTTATCATTTAAAGTGGTTCTTACCAACTTCTCAAATATTTAAAAATATTTATAAATGAACCATATAAATATAAAATAATAAAAAATATATAATATATAAATATATAAAGTTAACATAAAATGTAAGTATCGTAATATCCCAAAAATTTCTGCAATTTCTGAAATTTTAGATGTATATATGTATACATGAATACATTAGTATAAGTGGATTTAAATTTAAGTTAGGGATTTATATGAGAGGAATTATTATTGTTGGGTCTAATAACTAAAATTTACAAACCTAAAGGGGGTTAAAAGAGTAAATTTGGCAATAAAAGGGGCTGAACTAATTTTTTTTCTTTTTCTCTCCCTGCCATTATGCGTGTTTTTCCCCAGCTCCTCACCAGAGCTTTGCTTCCACAATCCCTAGCTTGTGCCCAGCCTCTTTTCGCTAAGAACCAGGTGAGAGTTGGCCTTTTATTTCTTCTCTTAGCAAGATTTAGAGATTTATGAGTTTATGATTCTCAAATAATGATAAAAAAAAATCCATATCTGGTTGCTAATACCTTCCAAATCTATTGGTCTGTGTTGGGTTGCTATCCATGGCAAGAAATCAGCCTTATTGCTCATCTGTTCATCCTTAATTGGAATTGGGTTAACTCTAATCTTTTATGGTTTTCAATTTTGGGATTTTTCTATAATTTTCCTCTTTAATTTTGCCTTAGTGCCACTAGATCTGATTCCTTTGATTGGAAAATTCTGACAACATGACCTTACTGCAGTGTTTTGACCATAACTCTTTTCGTAGATATTGAATTAAATTCATTTTTTATTTTATAGAAAGTTAAGAGATATCCCTAAAACTTTTCTGTTGGACGTTTAACCCAGTTCAGTTGTTTCATAGTAAAAAATATGCTGCAAGACCGATTCCCACAGGCAGACTTAACTGGCAGCCCAACCTTGTGTTAGTATTTTAGTCATAACTCTTTCTATAGATGTCAGATTAAGGTCATTCTTGATGCTATCGAATGTTAAGACACAGGGTTATCATTTATCTGTTGACCACTCAACTTAGATCACTCAATTTCTAGGCGTGAATTCTGTTGGAAATTCCAATTCGAAATCTGACCAGAACTTGACAGAAATTCGCTCTCTTTTCTGTTTTATTCCCACTTTATCTTTGTTACATTGCATTATAGTTTAAGTAGACTTTTAATTACCGCTTCCCTATTTTAAAACCCCTTGTTATTGCTTTGTTTTAGCTGCCTTTTTGCTACTACATTTTTTGCTTGAATGCTGCCCATTTTTTGTTTCTTTCTACATTGTTTTGCTGCTACTATTTGCCCATAAATCCCTGCTATTTTTGCCCAGAAAATTCCTGTTATTCAGGGCTTTTTCCAAGCATTTTGGGATTATTTTAAATAGCAAAAATCCCCACCTTACTACCTAGCTTTTGTGCTGTTGTTTTGGGGTAGATTTGACCTTGGTTTCTCATATTTTTTCACTTTATTTTGTCTAGTAAATCTGCCTTGTAAACCCACCATATGTAGGGTATTTTGGTGTTATTTTAAGCTTGTTTTAATTATGAATATGCATAAAAATATATATACATATATTAATGGAGTTTCAATGTGTAGAAGTGACCGAGAGGTGTAGGAGGAAGTTTCTTTGGGTAGAAACTTGATTTTGGAATTAGGAACGAAATAAGTTAAATGGAGTATATTGTAATTTTGTTTATTCATTGATGTGGTAACTTTTTTTTTTTTTTTAAGTGGTAACGAAACTAAACCCATTTTATACAAAAGCGAGCATGATTGGTTTAAAATGACATTGTTATCATTTATTAATTTGAGCATGTTTACTTAGAGTTTATTGAGTTGTTTTGATAACTTGAAATTGGTTTATAAATTATGGATTTTTCAGTAACTCCTGCATGGTTTTGCCTCTAATATAGTCATGATTACTAACGTTTGCTAGTGAGTGTTTGCAAACGATAGTACATGTCGACACATATATATGTAGAACAAATTCATTCTGTATTCCTGCTAGTGGGATAATACAATAATTATTACTGACGTCTGCTAGTGAGAGTTTATTAAACACTGGTCATGATTAATTGATGAGACAACTATTGAATTTTATTTTGTATTAATGGTTTATCACTAAGATATTTTTTCTGGTTTATGTTTAAATCATTTATCTAGCATGCTTTGACTTTAAATAAGGACTATCCATATTTTTGTTGAGTTATCTCATATAGTTTTTCCTCATCCACCATTTCAGGTATCTTAAACATAGATTTTAAGATATAGATCATTCTTTTGTAAACTAAATTTTATTTTAAAATATTGATCTAAAATTATGTGAAATGTTAGTTATGAATTTAGCAAATTTCAAGTCTTGTGCATTTGTGGGATCCCTTCACAAATATATAGTGTCTATTTCGCTCCCAGTTTTGGGGCGAAACAAGTATAAATTTAAATAACTATTAATATAAATAAAATATATATGTACATTATATAAATATAATATAATATAAACAACGTCTTACTTTAATAACACAAACAAAATATAAATGGTCATCCATCATTTGTTTAGTTCAATAAAAATGTCAAACAAAATATAGCTATGGCCAAACCAAATATAGCTAGACACTATCACTCTCAATTAAGTAATTTGAAACTTCTTCTTCTAATGTTTTCACCCCTCAAACTCGTGCTATCCCTCATCATCCTCATCATCCTCATTATCCTCATCCACACATTCTTCCTTATTTTGTTTAGCCTAATAAGATAATTGTGTTGGTTCAATGCACTCCAAGGAGGTGAATTGGAGTTAAAAAAATTTTCAGCTCTTTGCAACCACCAAACAAAAATTAAAAAGAGTAAA